TGTGAGACAATATAGTATTGTAGAAGGATCAGTGAAATGGGGAGTATGTGGAGTGGTACTGCCATGTTATCTCTGGACCCAGGACACTTGGCAGCATTTTTATGATCCCAGTGCTAAGTTGAGAGGTCTGTAGAATGCCATGAAGCAGAAAATGCCATAAGTTTTTGCCAGTCAAGCTGTGATTTCTGAAGTGATTGTCCTCTCACTATGTTTGGGGTGATTGAGGGAGAATTAAATTATTCTACCCTTGTAGCATGAGAGTAAGTCCATTTGTATAATGGGGACTATAGGATCTGTCACTTGATTCCCTCTCATATTGTTTTGCTATTATGCCTTGATTAAATGCTTTGCTTTTGGGGGCAGGGAGAAGGGAGGAGCAGTGGACTTCTATTCAGGAGACCTGGGGTTCAGTCCTGGCCCTGTCTGTGACTGTGGGCAGATTGCTTAACCTGTAAGAACCCCAGCTTCATCATCTAAAAAATAGGGGATGATCCTACATGTTCCAACACACAGTTGTTGTAAAGATCAAATGAGATTACAGACATGAAGGCATTTTGTTCACTTTAAAGCATATGCAAATGTAATATACGAAGGCAATAGAGATAATTACTAGGTTTTGAGAAGGTAAGTAACAGCGTGAAAAAAGTTTAGGAAGGTTAATCTGGCATATACTGTACATAGTGGAACTTTATAAGAAAATTGAAATATGAGGAGAATACATGAGTGTGGAAAGGGTATAATAATATATTTTTGAAGAATAGATGCATTAAGTTTTTGTTTTTTGAAAGAAATGAGTTGTGCTTGTTATGAATGATATAGTTTGGTTCTTTCCATTTGAAATTTGTTCAATTTTACTAGTAGCCTCCATTTTGTGTAAGTTGAGAAGCAGTGTGATTTAGTGGATTGAGGGTTGGATTGGAGTGTCAGGAAGGTAAAATTACATGCAGAATTTGAGATTTAAAACAGACCCCAGCTGCTATTCTGATCCAACCCATACATGAAAAGGAATCTCCATTGTAAATAACTTATTTGACAAGTGGTCATCTAACCTCTGCTTGAAGACCTTAAGTGAGGGGGGGGGGATCTACCACCTTTCTAGGCAGCCCATTACACTTTTGAACAGCTCTAATTCCTAGGGTCTTTTTCCTGACATCTAGCCTAAATTTACCTCTTTGTAGTTTTACACATTGATCCCAGTTCTGTCTACTGGGATCAAATAGATTAAGCTTTATCCCTGGGTTAGATTTGATGGGTACCTGATTTGCATCCAGTTTTTTCCCCTGGATTTAAACCTATTTTTTGGTACATGTTGACTGCATGACCCTGGCTAAGTCTTTGAACTTCTTAGTACTCCAGACAACTTTATAAAACCATAAAGTGCAGACCAGTTACTGATCTGTATTAGTAGAAGAAGTTTTCCTCTCCTGGAGTTCTGGACACTGATGCAATCACAGATTTCCCTTTCCTCCTTAGAGAAAAAAAAAAGTAATGTAAGATACTATGATAGCTACTGTTTAAATTCATATATGGTGAATAATTTCATTCTCCCATACTATCTTGTTACCATGAGTGCTGGGACAGACAACTTGGGTCCTGGGCAAAGTAGTCTAAATTTATCAAGATTCTAGTGAGAATGGATGTTGAATGGTCAGAAATTACTTGGGAGCTAGTCAAAACTAATAGTATTTATAGATTCTTATTTGGGGGTGTTTCTCTACTCTTCCTACCCCCAATTCAGCATGATTATGAGTTATTTAGGAATGACAAATTAAGGTAACAATCATTTAAACTTAATGTCATACTGATGCCCAGTTTTGTAACCTGGTGATCCTCAAGGAGAGTATGGTATAGTAGTGTTAGATTGGGTGTTAGGAGACCCTTGTCTCAGCTCTGCTGTTTATGAAGCTATATGATCTTGGACAAGTCACTTCACTTTTCTTGACCTCTGTAAAATGAGAGGGTTGTTCTACTGGGAGTGATTCTTAGGTAGATTTTTAAATGTCCTTTTTACCAAAATATTTATGGTAGGATTGTAGTGGTAGAAAAAAGAAGGCTGGAGATAAAGTGATTGCCCATCCATTGGGGGGCATTGAATGTAAGGGAATATGATACCCAGTGATGAATGTGAGGAATGCAGAAAAATGTGGGAAAGCTGATGTAAATCATTGCAGGATGAAGTAAGGAGAACTAGAACAGAATACATAATGACATCAGTAATGTAAATGAAAACAACACTAAAAGGCAGATTAATTATAATAACCAATATCACCTCTGTTTATTGAAAATGTGTGTAGCATAAGGGGAGGAGAATTCTATGGATATAAAATGTGAAATACACTGTCAGGTGCAGCTTCTGTATTTGTTGGTTTTACTTAGATGCTTTTCTTTATATTGAGGGAGGGTTCAATGGGCAGGGGTTGGCAGTTAAGTGATTATGATTGGTTTTTTTTTTTTTTTTTTTTTTCAAAATAAAGAGAAGACAGTTCTCATATCAACAGTTCTCAAACTTTTTGATTCTAAGACTCCCTTTTAAAAATTATTCTTGGGGCAGCTAGGTGGTGTGGTGGATAGAGCTCTGGACTTGGAGTCAGTAGGACCTAAGTTCAAATCTGGCCTCAGACACTTGACACTCACTAGCTCTGTGACCCAGGGCACATCGGTTAACCCCAATTACCTCACCAAAACAAACAAAAAAAAAATTCTTAAAAATAATTGAGGATTCCAGATAGCTTCTGTTTATGTGGGTTGTCACTATTAATATTTACCATATTAGAAACTAGAACACCTCAACATTATTATGAAAATAGCTTTGATCTTGCTGACCCCCTTAAAGGGTATCAGAGACCCTCAGGGGGTACCTGGACCACACTTTGATTCCACTGGACTAGATAATTTCAAAAGCATTTCTTGCTCTGACATTATATGGCATCCAGTTTTATTTGACATTTTACCTAGAGTTTTAACCCTAACTCTGACTTTTAAACTTTTGCTATGTCCCTATTGGGGGGAACATGGTGAGAGGGAGGGAGACAGGGAGTGGGATAGAGAGGTTTAAAAAACAAAACCAAAAAATCTAATATATCTCTACCTGTTTGGTTTGAGATCCAGGCTTACAGCATCCTTTAACTGAGTAATATGCATGCTGGAAATAAACATTCTTTGGTTCAGTTAATAGCAACACAGAATAGTAGTATGTAGAAAGTATTTTATGTAGAGAGTGCTTTCTGCTAAGGATTTTTTAAAAGTTGACATTTGTGTATCATTCTAAGTCTTATGCTTTATATGTTGTCATTTGGTTCTTAAACCATCCCAGTGAGATATTAGCCCCATTTTACAGATGAGGAATTGAGCTCAGAGAGATTATGATTTTTCTATAGTCACACAGCTCATCGTTATTAGAGGCAGTATTCAAGCTTAGATCTTTTCTAACTCCAAGTCTTTTAAGCCATTTTGTCAAAGCAAGTAGACCTGCTCCTAGTGGATTATGTTTAGATGTAAACATTACAGTCAGTCAGCAAGTATTTATTAAATGCTATATATTTTTATGTATATTTAAAACTATTTACTAAGTACTGTGCTAAGTGCCAGAGAGATACTACAAAAGGGAATAATAGTCCCTGCGCTTAGGGAACTCACATTCTACAGTTGATGTGGAGATATTATACTTTATGTAATATTAGCAAGAGACAACTTTTTATAGTGGGAAGACTACAAGATGTGGGAGTCAGAAGCCTGTCTTAGAGTCTTGGCTTCACTCCTCATTTTTTGACCAGATAAATCATTTAAACTATGAACCTCACTCTCTTTATCTGCAAAAGATTAGTCTTGAATGTTTGGGTGATTGTGGAGGAAGTACTTTGTAGACCAATAGAATATAAGCTCCCTGAGAGGTAAGGGGTATTTAAGTTTTAGTTTTGTATGTTCAGTGCTTGGCATATAGTAGGTGCCTATTAAGTACTTGCTGAGTGAATGCACAACACTTGATATATCATGAGTTGCTATTTTTATATATAGTGACTGTAGATAGAAAAGGAATCAGTTTGGGTAAGGGTTAAGACCTGTTTTGGACGTAGAGTTGAATTGGGCTTATAAGGTATAGGATAAAGTAGCTAAGTATTTTATGATAGAGATACTATCTATAGAATTTCTTCCCTGATATTTAAGATTAAATACAAGATCTATGTTTTCTGTTTTGTACTTGAGGAACTAAGGCCCAGATTGGATTAGTAACTTGCCTGTAGTCACATGACTGGTAAATGGTAGAGTCAGGGCTCAGTTCAAGATCTTCTGACTCCTTGTCCAGTACTATTTTCACAATACCACAATACTTGTCAACATTGAAATGTGTTAAAAAGTTACAAAAAGATATGCTATTTGAAAACTTTTGTCACCATATCCTTGTTTTCAGTCAGATTGAGCCGTAAAGCTAGGTGTAATAAATATATTTAGGTTTATCTTCATTCTCTTTACTTTGTATCAGCTTTGATTAAAATCAGTCTTCTCTTTGAAGTTATCAGGGAACAAAAAGATACAGGCATTGCTAAATGGGTTAAGTTAAATGGATCTTGTGTCATTTGGTCAATTTCCAAAGAAATGCACGTTTGAATTGCTCTACTGTCTTGCTTTTGTCATTTTCTGAGAAAGTTTGTATGAAGGACCCTTAGAATCACTTAACAGGTGATAGGACAGCGTTCAGAACCTTGCTTCTGATCCTGGTTTTGCTATGAGTGACCTTGGGCCTTGTCACTTCATTGCCTTCCTCTGTAAAATGTGACACATTCAGCTGAATCTCTGAAGTTCCTTTGAGCTCCAAGATTTTATTCTAAATTTCTATCTAGTGTTAAAATTCTGTGTCTGAAGTCCCCAGCTCTAATGCTCTATGTTCTATGTATCGAAGTCCATTCTAGCTCCAGCATTCTATGAAATCTATTAGCTGAAAGGTGTTTGTTTCCTGTGGTGTCTGGCCATCTAACATTTATGCTTCTATTTTTTTACTTTAGGGAATGACCATGGATAAAAGTGAGCTTGTGCAGAAAGCGAAACTTGCTGAGCAGGCTGAACGATATGATGACATGGCTGCTGCCATGAAGGCAGTCACTGAGCAAGGGCATGAACTGTCCAATGAAGAAAGGAACCTCCTCTCAGTAGCCTACAAGAATGTGGTAGGTGCCCGACGTTCTTCCTGGCGAGTGATCTCCAGCATTGAGCAGAAGACAGAGAGAAGTGAGAAGAAGCAGCAGATGGGCAGAGAGTACCGTGAGAAAATTGAAGCAGAATTGCAGGATATCTGCAATGATGTCCTGGTAATAATAATACTATTTAACTTCTACATAGAGAGTAAAAGTTCATAGAGTGCATTATCTCACAACAAAACTGGGGTAGGTGGTACAGGATTTATTGTCCCCATTTTACAAAGGAGGAAACTGAAGTCTTAAGGATTAATTAATAGCCACAGTCATATAGCCAGTAAATGTCAAAGCTGGAACTTGAACCCACATCTTCTGATTCTTAAGTCCATTGTTATTTCAGTTACATCATACTGTCTCCATTGGTAATGATCTGGTTTCTAATTAGATTTAAGTTTCTGATTATATTAGAAACCTATAGAAGCATTTGCAACGAAGTTTGGAACCTTATCGGTTTCCCCTTTTATGTTTACCTTATAGGATATGTTTAATTTTACACTTTAGGATCTCTTTTTCCTTCCTACCTTAGGCTTACCCACTGGAAAAAGCAGCCCTTCATCATTATCTTTTCTTCCCCAGTGAAGAGTTAGACTAAATAGACAGGAGTGGAGAGAGAAAAAATAGCAAGCAGTTTGCTTGCCATTAGACTGGTAGTGTTCTCCCCCCAGCATGGAGTGAGAAGTTGAAATGCAAAAAAGCATTCCAAAGCCATATAAAAATGATGAGCCTCCTCATCGGGTTGTCTGTGTCTGCTGTCTTGGTATAGGTAATTGAGCATCTGTTCAACATTTTGTTAGATATCTACTGTGCAAAAAGTACTGTGCTAGTCACTAAAGGAGGTAGAAAGATATTCGAATAAGACATTTTCTCTGCCCTCGTAGTACTTATAGTTCAGTAGGAGAATGTGTCACATACACAAAGTGTAATAACTATGACTATGTTATATGTAATATATATAACGTGTAATAATTGTAAAAGTGCTCTTTACTCATAGGCAGCACTGTCTTTGACAGAAGTACAAGACCTGAAGCAAATACTGTCCCACTGCATCCAGTGAGAATGGTTTTATAAAGGTGCTAAGTCCTAGCATAGGTTTAATGGTCATCTCTATGAGGATGGCTCCCAAACCTGCATATATACCTCTAATCTATTTCCTGAACTGCAGTCATACATACATCATCAGCTGCCTGCTGGACCACCTACACTGGAATATCCCCCTGGTATCCCAAACTCAGAATGTCCAAAACTGGTCATTTTTGCTACTAAACTTGCCTCTCTAAACCTCTCGTTTCTGTTGAGGTCACTTCCCTCCTTCCAGATGTCCAGGTTCCCAACTTTAGAGGGATATTTTAGTCTTCTGTTCCTCATCCTCCATATGCAATTGCCAGATCTTGTCAAATTGACATCCACAACATCTCTCACATCAGTCTCTCCATTCCCTAGTTCAGGGCTTTATCACCTCCTCCCTAGAGTATTGCAGTAGCCTTCCAATTTATTATCCTTCTAGTCTTTGTTTTCTCCAATCCATTAATACAGCTGCCAGATTAATATCCCTAAAATATAAATCTGACTGTCATTCTTGGAAAATCTTTAGTGGCCCCCTGTGTCTTCTGGGGTAAAATAACAAATATTTCAGCCTGGCATTTGAATTCCGGTACAGTCTGGCTTCCATCTACTTTTCCAGACTTCTTATTACTCCTTTTTGCGTACTTTATGTTTCAGTCAAACTGACTTATTAGCTGCTGACTGAATTTAGCATTCTATCTCCCATCTTAATGCCATTTGCACAGACTGTCCTCCATGCCTGGAATGCTCTCTTTTCCCAACTCTGCCTCTTAGAATCCAGGCTGAGCCCAAGTGCCACTTCCTACATGAAGCCTTTCATAATCTGTTTTTCTTTTCCTTTTCACATTACCTTAGCTTTACTTATATGTGTACGTTCCTCGAGAACAGGAGTTGTTTTGGTTTTGTCTGTATTTTGGTTCCTTGCACCTAGTAGATGTTTGGTAAAGGATGAGGTGAGAGTGAAATTGGGTTCAAATGAACATTACAGGCAGCCCTGAAGGGGAAAAGAAGTCATCACCTCCCCTGATGGTCCTGTCCTGCTGTCCAGTTATGAGCAGGGCAGGGCTTCAGGGAACTGCCCCAGTTTAGTGTACCCTGGGGACAGCTCTGACCACGAAGCTTCTTTTTGAGAAACTGTACAAAACTCTGTCACAAAGGCAATATTCCTTTTCCCTGCCCTCCATGGTATACTACTATATATATTATGTATCTTCAATATGGGGCATTAAAATTACTTTTGCAATTTGCCCTTTTTTTTCCTTTCAAACTAGGAGAGTCATGTCTGAACAACCTGAATCAGGCATTTGTGTTGCCCAAGCCAGGCTTGAAAGTTGTGAGCTTCCCCTGCTACTGAGTTTTGGAAATCACCTATCCCTGTGTATGATTGTTCATTGAAGGTGTTGTGACCTTATTATATAACACAGGCCACTTGACTTGTCACCAACTAAATTGCCTTTGGGTTGTGAAGAATGGAATTTTTTTTGTCATTTTGTACTTCTTTTGTATAATGAAGGCTTGCCTGCCTTGCTTACCCCTAGTCCCAGCTCTGATCTTGAGTTTTTTAGCACTTATATTCCAAGAAGAAATATTATTCTCTATAAAGTTTGAACTCCTTAAGGAATCCTCACATGGCAAAGGAAATATTGAAAAAATTTGTTAATTTTTTTTAAAATAGAAAGTATATAGTCTTACCATATTTTCACCTGGGGTACAAGATTCATTGAATCTCTAAGTTGAAGGGACTTTAGAGATCCTTTTTTAGGTCAATAAATCCCTCACTTGGTAAATGAATCCTCTTTATAGGATTCCTAATTAATTATGCTCTAGCTTATGTTTTATTCAAAAAGTGTATCTTTAAAATAAATCACCAAAGGTGATTATAACAAGAAGTGATTTTTTGCTTTAAAATATCCTAACTCTATATTAAAATAACCTCAGTAAGACTTCAAATCCTTAATCTCTTTTCAGGAGCTCTTGGACAAGTACCTTATTCTGAATGCCACACAACCAGAAAGTAAGGTCTTCTACTTAAAGATGAAAGGTGATTACTTCAGATATCTCTCTGAGGTGGCATCTGGAGACAATAAACAAAGTAAGTAATGTTTTAAAGAAAAATAACCAAGATTGGAGCTACTTTGAATATATAGTGTGTTTATCAGATACATTCTTGGGACCTAGTTTGAATTATATTGGTTTTAGGAGAAAGTATGTATTTGTTTACAGAATTGGGAGGGACAGGGGTCCCAGGTATAGAATATGGAATATATTATTAGATTTTTTTTTATGTACCGATTTTGCTCATTTATTTCCTTTTTTTTTTTTTTAATTCTTCATTATAAGGGATGGCTCTTTGGAAGTGGAGAAGGGAAGAGATACAGAGGGAAATTTTTGAAGTGTAAAAACAGAATATGTTAACATGTGGTTTAGTGGGAAAAATATTGGACTTGGAGTCAGGAGAGACCAGAATTTAGACACCTTACTCTGTCATTATTAGTCATTTGACCTTAGGCAAGTCAAAAATTTGTAAGTTTCTGTTTCCTAACTATAAAATGGGGTTAAAAATACACCACCCACCTCCCATTGTTATTTTGAGGAAAGAGAATGAAAGTTCCTTTGAGGGCAGAGATTGTTTTAGTTTTGTCGTTTTATTTTTATGTTTAGCACAGCATGTGGCATGTAGTAGATGCTTAATAATATTTGTTTTTTAACTGATTCAAGTACTTTATGAACTGCAAAGCACTAAAAATGTGAGCTACTATTATGACATTAACACTTTGTAGTGTTCAGAATTTCAAATGACCTTGAATATATGTCAGCAGATACAAGTTAATTAAGCTAGTTTACTTGTTGATTTTTCAGAAGTGACAAAAAGTATATCTCATTGATGAAATATAAAGTTAAAATCTTTAAAAATTATATTCTCTTAAATCTTATTTTCTCTCCCCATTGGGGAAAAACACAAAATTCTTATAATAAATATGCATAGTCATGCAAAACAAATTCCTGCATTGGCCATGTCCCAAAAGCGTTATGTCTTATTCTTCACCAAGTCTATCGCTTCTCTGCTCCTCTGGAACATACCTTATCATCAGTCCTCTGGCCCATTAGAATTGTGGTTGGACATTGTGTTAATCAAAGTCCTTAAATCTTTCAAAATTGTTTGTCTTTACGGTGCTGTTATTGTATAAATTGTTCTCCTGGTTCTTCTCACTTTACTCTTTCATTTCATGTAAATTTTTCCAGGTTTCTCTGAAACAATCCATTTAATAATTTCTTATAGCAAAATAGTATTTTATTACATTCATATATCATAATTTCAGCAGTTAAAATCTAATTTAGTAACACTACTTTCAGAAAATCTTGCCCTTGAATACTTGGGTGCATCTCTTTTTAGAAGTGGAGTTTTTGTTTTTTTGATAGCTTGAAACGTTCAGTGATGACTGAGATATTGAATCAGTCTGTTTTTAACTGGTGGTGATACCATGACTTCACTCACTAGGTCAGACTCTGTACTAAGCTAACTAAAGTTAATTTATTTGCTTCTATCCTTGTTGTACATGATGTAAGCAATAATCCATCAAATCTCAAAATTGATTGTTTTTTTGTTTGTTTTTGTAATAATAAATTCTCTTTAATTCTAGCACCTGAAGCCATATAGGGTTATCAGTTTCATGGAATTGTTGTACACATTCAGTAGAGTGGTGGTTGTACAACACTACTTAGTATCTCAAAATCAGGAAACATACTTGAAATGCTTAAATACAATCCACGAAACTTAAAAAAATTCGAAGACATCCTCAGAGAGTCATTTAAAACTTTTAAGTTTAATGTTTACTATAAATGATTAGTTTCTTATAAGGGCTATCAGGAATGATACTGAGATCCACATCATGGGATTTGTGTTCTGTGATGGTATTCTGGGCAGGGATGTGACAGGCCAGATGCAGTTAGTTGACACAGTGGATAATGTTGGACTTGGAGTCAAGAAGTCCTGAATTTTAATCCTGCTTCAGACGTTTATTAGCTGTGTGACCCTGGGCAAGTCACTTAACCTCCCTCAGCCTCATTTTCCTAATCTGTAAAATGGGGATGATGATAACACCTCATGGTATTGTTATGAGGCTTAAATGACAACCTGTAAATTGATTGACAAGGCTTAAAGTACTATATAAATACTAGCTATTACTGCTATTATTATGATTATTATTATTTATGTTAATTTGGGTCCTGCTAAAGCCCAGCAAAAAGTTTTAACATAGTTTCTGTAGCTTCTACATGTGTTTTGTGTGTGTGTCAGAAGTAAACTGCAACTCTTTATATATACATAAATTATGCTCTGAAAATATGATATTGAATTACAAACATAAAAATAGTAACTAATTTAATAAGAAAATGTTTAAAAACATTTAGCAAAAAATTAGTCATCTCGGACCTTGGAAACTTGATTCCATTTTTTAAATATTACATCAAAGCAAAAACTACAATTTAAGTTTTCTTGAATCCCTTATCCAGAAATACTCAGAAAGGAAGATAGAAGTGATTGTTCGATCCTCACCCCATAACCCCCCCAATGGCTGAGAAAGCTCCCTAAGGAACTGAAATTCTAATGTCCAGAATGAGTCCATGTACTTAGCCATATAGAACACCACCATTGTTAACTATGCAGCAAAGTAATGGTAGTCTAAGAACCCTGTAACAACTGTTCTGGACACACTGAGGAAATGCAGCAGACTGTTAGGTGTTTTTGGCCACTGGAAACGAGAAACTACAATGTCCCTAAGGTCCAAAATATCTCAATTTTTGCTAAACTCATTTCAGTGTCTTTAAGACTAATTGAAGTTGTTATCAAATATTAATCTTAGGCTAAAAGCTAATTGACATTTTCCCAAAAAAACAAAACACAAAGAATCCTAATTGATGATCTTATGTTGGCTGAAGATTTATCTTGTTTGTTTGTTTGTTTGTTTTTGGGGTTTCTTTTAAGGAATAACAGTTTGTGTAGATCATTCTGGTTGTTGATCCTCAGTCATGCTTTGTGCTGTTGGAAGCCAGTGAGCCTTTTTCTATGGACCTCTCTGGATTGGCCTTTCAAAAATACAAAGTTATGTCTCATGAAAATAACTTAGCTAATTGTGGACCCACTATTCAACTGTCCTTTTTGAAAAGGATGTGTAGCAGGGAGAGCCTTAGGCTATCTAGTATAACCAGTTCTACCAGCACCAGACTGTGCTGGATGTCACTGGACAGTTACACTTGGGGGAAAAACATGCCACCAACTTGGCTAAAGTAGTTTTGACAAAATATTATCAGATCAAGTGAGAACTTAAGTTATAATGCTTTTAACCTGTGAATGAATGCGGCTTAAAAAAATTTTTTTTTAATCTTTTCTAGCTACAGTATCAAACTCCCAACAGGCTTACCAGGAAGCATTTGAAATTAGTAAGAAAGAAATGCAACCCACACACCCAATTCGACTTGGCTTGGCTCTCAATTTCTCTGTCTTTTACTATGAGATACTAAATTCACCTGAGAAAGCTTGCAGTCTGGCAAAAACGGTGAGTGGACCCTTTTTGTGTCTCCCAGTAGGTCACTGACCAGTAGGAAGGATTGTTTCATAACTTATTTTTTTCTACCTGAAACTTGTTTGAGCTGTTTCATCGACACAGCCTTCCATTGACCAGTCCTTTGGGGAGGAAATGCACATGACCTTAGGGCTGAGTATTGTAGACTTCCCAGTGAATCCCCTTCTCTTTATTTTCTCATCTTAGTGGCTTCTAGAGTCATTTGGAACTTTGGGGATTGGAAGCTTAAATGCAGCAGCTTGGCTGTTTCTGCCCTGGTTATTGAGCCTAGAGCTCAGTCAAAGGCATGATTTTCATCATAGCAGGAACTGAAGTCAAATTAAGCTAGTCTAATTAGTTTCTGCATCCTCACTTTGTTACCTCCTGTGTTTTGTTTTAAATAACCTGCTGCCCTTTCCATGTAATTGAAATGTTCTTCCAGAAATACACTGCCACTTTAGAATTTTTCTGAATAGAACTTGGAATTAAAATAAGCCTTCAAAAATGTTTTGTAGCTCAGTTGTTAATTAGTTTTAGGAGTCATAGTTTTATAATCACTGTTCCCTCTCCCTTGAACACTTCAGAGATTTTAAATTCATCACACTTCCTATCCATGCCTTTGAGCATCAGATCACAAAATAAATAGACAATATTTTGTGTAACTCAGAAATCTAGTGGACCTGGCAGAAAACATAATGTTAGCAGTGGTTCTTGCTGCACTACAAGCTAGTTCTTGTAATGTTCTCATCTAGGAACTTTGTGGTTTAGAGGTATCTTTTATCTTTAGAAGAATGATGATTATTATGTGCGTAAGGTGACATTTGCTAATATAGTTAGCAGGATCATGGGCTGTGTGGCCAGAATCTAAAAGTGCAAATGGAGGACTATTTTCTTTACTGTCTTGGCTAAGGAGAAAAATGAATTTAACTAAGAGAATGAGTGCCAAGGAATTCTGTGCTAAACCTTTGTAGTTTGTTTTAGGCCTTTGATGAAGCGATAGCTGAACTGGATACACTGAATGAAGAATCTTACAAAGATAGTACTCTGATCATGCAGTTACTCAGGGACAATCTCACTGTAAGTATTATGGCTCTGTGGTCATCTCATCTGTACTGTGCTTTGGAACACTTTACCCCCCAAATAACTTTGTTTGATGCCACTTCCTATGAGTTTCTTTATCACCATTTTTTCTAGAGGCTGGAATCCTAAAAAAAAAAATTTATTCATGTTATGTTAGCATGATCTATTGACATTTTGTGTAGTACCATCTTAACAAATGGTTATGTAGATGTTCATTTATCTCCCAGATCCCCTCATAAAATTTTCTAGATATATCCATTTTCTGCCTAAAACCTTTGCCTTTCCACTCACCTGCAATTGAATAGACAGAACTTGAGGTGGTTTATTTATTCATCAATCAGTTGTAAAATACTCTGTGTTCAGTATATTGTACTATGTGCTATTATAAATAAAATGTAAGGTATAAGTAAATGATATAGAATAAATCTTTTTATGAAATAAAAGATAAATAAGACATGCTCCTTGCCTTCAAGGAGTTTTCAGTCTAGTAGAGGAAAAAGAAATGTACAGACTTAATACAGATTAAGAGTATGGCCATTGCATAAGTAAAGTATAAAATATGCTACAAGATCAAATAAGAGAAATGATTTCTGGGTGAAGGGGAAGAATCAAGGAAAAACTTCTTGAAGGAATTGGTCTTTGGGTTTTGAAGAAAGATTTAGATCAAGTAGATTGGTAGGGAAGGACATTCTGTGTGGGGGAATAGAATGAGCAGAAAGGTGTGGAAGTAGGAAAGAATGAAGGCATATTCAAGAGAATATAATTTGTATACATGTGAGGGTGGAGAGTAGCAGAAAATAAGATTAGGAAAAGTAAATTGGAGCTAGCTTGTGGAGAGTCATGAATGCAGGCTAATCATGTAAGTGAGTGCAAACAACTTTCTTTTCTCTTCCTACAGTTATGGACATCAGAAAACCAGGGTGACGAAGGGGATGCTGGCGAGGGAGAGAATTAATGGCTATCATGCTTCACTGTCTGTTCAGTATCACTCTGTACCCTACACATATATCCCTTTGTGCGACAAAGAATCGTACGTCAACTTTTCACAACCTCAGCATAGCAAAAACAATTCGTAGGGTGAACAGTTGGTGTTTGTATCAAAAACTGAGATTGGTAAAACAAATAATGATGGCATTCTGGAGTTTGATTCTGATTAGCATTGTCAGTTAGAATTACTGAGTGTTTCTCTTTCTCTCTCTCTCTTTTTTTTTTTTAAACTGAACACTGTGATTATGGGGTTTTGTAACTCAGCAGAACTCTCTCTTACTGGTAGGAAAAAAAAAAGTAGACCTGAATTATGTGTAACTTTTTTGAAAGTTTAATCTGATATCCAAATAGTCAAAGTACAATTCTGTTGTAAAGCTGTACAGAAAGTTATAGAGATTATATTGTGACACTGGGACAAGGAATGAAACACCCATCTGGTAATATTCCAGCTCATTGACAACTGAAAATGATTCCACCCGTTATTTGGGGCTTCAGATTCTTTATCACTTTGGGCTGTTTACAGTCCAGAACTGGTGAAAGTCACTGTCACAGTTTCCTTCTCCTCTGGGGAAGATGGACTCCTGACCTTCAAATTTCTTTCTGATAGTCACCTGGATTTTGAAGCTGAATGAGGTCTTATGCACACATAATCTAGAATCACAGAATTATAGAATTTCTGAGTTGGAAGGACCTCTCAGCAGCTATCGTGGATGTGACAAAACCCCTTTTCCGCAGCAATAAGTTACCAATTTGCAACTTATGCTTAAATAGTGGAATCATCCTTTCATTGTGACAAGTGAGCTGAAGCAAGAAAAGATGCATATTTTATGAATGGCCTTATCTGTTTGCTGGATATTACCTTTAGGAATAATGTACTTACAAGATTGCCTTTCTCTAGGAAATTTTAAAACAAAAAACCTTTAGGGTATTCCCAATTTAGAAGCCAAAATGCGGTCTCCAGCCATTCTTTCCACTGTCCTCTCTGCCTATTAATGTAATTTTTTCCTTCCTAGATTTCTTTCCTTCGGCCTTCTCTTACCTATCTCTTTTTTCTTTGTGAATTCTGTCCTTCTGTATATTTTTGCTTCACTTTTTGTGAATATATGGGCAGGGGAGGGGGGAGGGGGGAAGGGGAGTTTTCCAGGACTTGTGGACAGGCCAGAACTGCAGGTGCCACCATTCAGTCTTCCTCCAGTTCTTTGAGCGTATGCTGCTCTTAAGTCATACCCAAGATTTGACGTAAGTCAATATGTAACAGTTCCCATTTTTTCCTCCTGGAATGCAGCCCCAACACACTTGTTAGTACCTGACATCAGGTGTGCCCAAATGAGACCCTGTAATTTACAGAATGTTGCATGAACCATGCACAGGAAAGTACTCCAAGCATCCAGGCCTATCGTCTCACAGCACCGCCTCGCCACCTTAACATTCCACTGAGCTGTCAATACCATCTGTTCGTCCGTTGTCTGCTAAAACAAATAAAATTCATGCACTGATTTAAAAAAAAAGAAAAAAAGAAAGAAAAATCTACAAAAACACTCCCCCCCTAGCTGAACCATTGTGCAGTTAGTCCTTGGCGCTTGATCAACACAGTAGTGAATGTGGAACCGAGCCTGTCTGTATATCTGGTAGCTCTTTTTTGCTTTGTTTTTACTGACCAGTATTCTGCCTAACGTTCGCTTCTGTGATGGGTATATTGCGTAGCACACACGTGGTTGTGAAAATAGTATAGCAAAAACAAAATCCCTGGTTATTGATGTACTAGATTTGTGTCTGTCTTTTAAACAGTTCTAGTTTCACCTTACATGGAATAATCAGGAAGAGTGTAAAAGAATTCAAAAGTGAAATAAAAAATTTTATCAGTTAAATCAGGCCTGTGGATAATTGTTTTGTTCTTTTCCTGGTGGAGATCTGTACTTTTGCAGGAACTAAGCTGGTTATTTTGAATACCCAGCCTTTGGTTTCATAGAACCTGTTTTCTCTTCTTTCACTGAGGGGGGACTTTTTCATTTATCCATAATGACCATCATCTTATACAGGAGCATTATAGTTTATATAGCCTTTAACTCCTGTGAGTCAGAACATCTAGGGTGAAGTTAGGTATAGGCTGGACAAGACAGTTGTGTTCAGTGATTCATTATGAGGTGGTAGGCATCTTAGAAGTCATCTTGTTAGGCCTTCTCACTCTACATATGAAGAAAAGGAGGCCCAAATGCTTCCACTTATTAGGGGTATGACCTTTGACCAGATACTTTGCCTTTGTGGACCTCAGTTTTCTCATCTGTAAAATAGGGATAAAACTACCAACTTTATAGATGTGAGGTGATCCCTAGGAAATCCCTTTATAACCGAAAAACACTATGAAAATGTCATGTCTAGAAACATCAAGAACTTGAGTAACTTGTGTCTCTGCCACTTAACTAGCCCCATGACCAGAGGCACATGAAAAACCTCAAGGCCTGAAAGACTTCAGAACTCATCCAGTCCAGCCCATTTCCCTTCTTCACTTCTGTTTTCCTTATCTCTAACATGGGGATGATACCTAACTCACTGTGCCATCAGGGAAAAAAGTGGACAGTGCTAAGAAAATGTGAAATATTCTACTAGACAGCAAACTAAATAAGCAGTATGATGTAGCCATAGAACCAATACTGAACTGAATATGCATTAATAAGGGGCAAGCTGTCCAGAATGAGTGGGAGTGATAGTTTTTCTGCCTCACTGCCTTGGTCTGATCCCATCTGGACTCTTGTATTCAGACAGACTAGAAAATGCTCAGAGGAGCCTGACCATTATGTGGGAAAGGAAATTAGGAGTGAAGATCCATTCTGCTCTAATGAAAAGTTCCCTTTTTGCTGCCTACCTGCAATAGTAAGGACATGCCAGAACCTCAGATGTCACTTTGTCTAATCCGTATCTGAATGGGAGTGCACTGGGGAGAGGAGGCCTAAGAGCATCTCTTAAGGAGGTCATTTGTAGAAGATTTTTAAAATGAGATCTCATAACTGTTTGAAAAGCTGTCTTAAGGGAGAGGCATTGGACTTGTTCTGAAGGGCTCCAGAGGAAGGGGGTAAAGGAGGAAAGAGCATTACAGTAGGTATGATACAAGTGAAGGCTTTCTTCTAATAATTGCAGCTATCCCACAGTGGAATGGGCTGCCTTGGAGATTTTCCATTCTCCATCCAGAGGGATACCTGAGAATTATTATTTAATGGGAAGCAGCAGGCCTGCTTCTACTCTTAAGGAAGGAACACCTGGCAACCCTGGGGACTTAGGTTCATAAAAGGACAGAATTCCCTAGAACCTTCCAAAGCTTTCCCAGATCTCATAGTTTGATAGGTAGATAAAGCAGTAGTGCTGGTGTCAAGAGCTGAATTAAAATATGACCCCAGACTCCTGATGTGTAACTCCAAGCAATCCACTATAAAATAGGAACACCTACATCCCAGGGTTGTTGGGAGGATCAAATGAGATAATATTTGTAAAGGACTTCCTTAGCACAGTGCCTGGCACATCCATTGGTGCTTCGTCCGTCCATCCATCCATCCATCCATCCATCCATCCATCCTTCCTTCCTAGCCTGGTACACTGGATAGAAAACTGTAATTAGAATCAGGAAGAGGAGTTCAAATTCTGACCCCTAGGAGAGGCAAGAGGCCATTTACAACAAAATGCCACTTCCACAAAAGTATTTAGCACTGGGCTTAGAACTCAGGTGTCCAGCTTGGGAGAGATGGTGCCTCTTAAAATTCTGGAGACTAAAGGTCTAACTGGTCAATAGGCTTTGGCTCAGGCCTCTCCATTCTCTGAGTCCACAACGAGCCAATGAGTGCTGGAGAGGAAAGAGACTATAGCTACAGACCTACAAATAGAGACAGACAGAGAGACAGAGATCATTTGCTGCTGAAGAAATAGGCCCAAATCGGGCAAGTGAGTTGCCCAAGAGCACATTGCTAGGAAGAGGCTGGGGGAGTACTCGACCTCCTTCAGCTCCCTCTCGTTGCTGCCACCAGCCAGCCCGCTTAACAGCCTAACTGCCCCCAGGAGGGGAGGGAGAACCGGGAAGGGCGCACCTGGGGGCGACCCATTCGGAGAAGCAGGTGAGGCTTTCTGAGCATCTTGCGGACCCTTCCCGTCGGGGAGCGGCGCCGGGCCAGGGAAGAGTCTGCAACGCCCCCTAGGCCTCCCAGCTCCGACCCCTGGGATTGGCCCACCCCACCCCGAGAGGCGTAAAGGAAGGGGCGGGGCCGGGGCCGGAGCCATCTACCGAGGAGGGCGCCACTAGCTGCTCCGTTCCCGCGTGATTGGACGCCCCCGCTCTCCGCTGCTCCCGGGACGCTGCCAGGGTGAACCCTGGGGCCCAGCCTGGGGGGCGCGGGGGGAAGGGCAGTGTGGGCTCGGGGCCGGGCTGGCGGGCAGAGTCGCCGGGGCTCTGGCTTCTTTTCCTCCGCTGCCCTCGTGGGGGCTGCCCGGGGTCTCCACGTGCCGAGGGCCCGTAGCCAGGCTGGTAAGACCCTCCCGTTCGCCTTCTCCTTAGACCGTGACCTTCCTCTCCTTGGAACATGAACCCAAGTGGCCCCGGCTACCCCCTGGCGTCCCTCTACGTGGGCGACCTGCACCCCGACGTGACCGAGGCCATGCTGTACGAGAAGTTCTCTGCCGCGGGGCCCATCATGTCCATCCGCGTCTGCCGCGACGTGGCCACGCGCCGCTCCCTGGGCTATGCCTACATCAACTTCCAGCAGCCCGCGGACGGTGAGCCCGGCGGGGAGCCCGGGAGGGAAGCGCGCCCGCAGCCCCGCGGGAGGCCCCAGGACGCGCTTCCCAGAGCCCTCGGGTTTCCCACTTTCCCAAACGAAGCCCAGTGGTGGTGGGGTGAGGGCGGCAGCAAACACGGCCTCGGACATTCCCTCCCTTCTTCTCCTCACCCAACCCGCCAAAGTTGCATGCTGGTGGGCGTGCCCAGGCTCGGGGTGGTACACCCGAGTTGTGTTGCCTACCCAAAATGGCAGAGCTAGAAGGGGCCCAGCAGTGTGCTAGGTCATCCCGTGTAGGCACCTTCTTTCTTGATTAATCCATGCTGCATAAACATTTCCTTCAGTATCTCCTGGTGGTAAAGGGACCTCCGAGGCTGGCCGGCCCAATCCATATGTGAACTGGAATCTCCTTTCTACAGTGGTTCCAACATGAGGGGGCCAATCCCTACTCTAGCAACTATCTTTCCATGCGAAAGCTGTTATTCTCTGTGTCCCCAGACTTAGTAAAACCCTATTAGGCGGTTTCCCCTGGCTTACTCCCTTTTCATTTGAATATCTAAAAACTCAGGGGGTCCTCCTCCACGAGGAGAACTGTTTGGGAAGGAGGGGGGATGGTTGGGAGAATTCTATTAACCAATCTCATTGTCTGGAAAAGTTAGAGTAGTCAGTTTTACTCTATGTAAATTTGCCTTAAAATGTGCCATCGAAGAGAAAGAACCCCTCAGATCAATTTTCCTGGGGAAGAGCTTTGCCTTTAGAATGTTAAGCATTTTTAGTTTGACCCCTTGGGTTTTACAGGTGGGGAAAATGTGGCAAAGGGAGTCAAAGTGATTTATCCAAGATCAGACTGATGCCAATGGCTTCTTGAAAATGCTTGACTCACTGGGAAATTATAGCTAACATTTATTTATCACTTAAAGCTTTGCAAAGTGCTTTCCTTTTATTATCCCATTTGTTCCTCATAGGATCAAAGGAGATAATACTTATAAATCGCTTAGCACAGTACCTGGCACATAGTAGGCACTATTATTATTGTCAGCAACAACAATAATAATCTTTAGAACAGCTGTGTGAGGTAGGTGCTCTTACTATTCCCATTTGTACAAATGAGAAAAAAAAGATGAGAGGTTAAATGGCCCCTGGCTGTGGTTTACAGGAGCATCACCCCTGCTTCCTGCTGGCTGCCTTGGAGTAGGTAGTAGTAGATGGATCTGGGAATTTCTTTGCCCTCAGCCTCCCACTACCCTGTGGGAAGACAGCCCCTTGAAGGCTGAGTAAAAATTGGGGCTTGTCCAGGGAGTTGGCAGGATTTCTTGTAGGTTGTAGATAGGTTGGAAAATATTAGAGCCAAGAGAGCCCATGGAACATCAGGCGTAGAATATTAGCATTGGAACAGACCTTTGGATGTAAAACAAACTTCGCCACTTCTCTGGCATGGAGTCAGTGATCTACTGTATATACATAGTATGTTTTTTGTCTAGGAACAGCTCTATGTCTTAGCACCTACCTCCTAAGGTTGTTTTGAGGATCAAATGAGGTAATACCGTGAAGCACTTAGCACAGTGCCTGGCCCTTTGTAAGCACTTTGTACATGTTAGCTATTCTTATTCTTTTTTTTTTGTTTGTTTTTTTAGGCAAATGGGGTTAAGTGACTTGCCTAGGGTCACACAGCTAGTAAGTGTCAAGTGTTTGGTCTGAGGTCGGATTTGAACTCAGGTCCTCCTGACTTCAGAGCCGGTGCTCTATCCACTGCACCACCTAGCTGCCCCTTATTCTTATTCTTATCCTTAATCTTACCAGTAAAGAGTGAGATGGAAATGACATGTTAGGAGGGAGTAGCCAGACCTGAGACCACATTGTGAAGTGTGTATGGCAGCCCCTGAGTCTTCTTGCTTTACTTTAAATACCTTTCCCCACAGGATCCAGTGCCTGCACGTGCTTTTCCCATGCTCACTTAAATTCCCTTCTACCCCTTTAGAACCTGCTCTCACCTTTCACTCATACTGTAACTCAGGTTTCTAGAGTATATTACAGTTTGCAAAACTGTCTCCAAAACACTCTCCAAAACCCCTGGAGCTAGGTATTACAAGTAACATTACTCCCATTTTACAGCTGAGGACATTGAGTCTCAGAGAGGTTGTGCCTTGCTCACAGTCACACACATGTTAAGTGTCTGAGGCGGGATTCAAGCTCAGGTCTTGACCCCGGGTGCTGTGTGCTCTTGCTCCATAGTCTTGCTAAGGTCTATGATGACATGGTGATATAGGAAAAATCCCTGGGTTTAGAACTATGGTTCCTTTCTTTCTCTGGGCCTCTATTTTCCCCTCTCTGAAATCAGAGGGTTGGACCTGATGGTCTGTCTTTGAGACTTCTTCAGTCTCTAACATTCCACTTTCAGATACTCCTTCCAGTTGTCTAGAGTGAATGTTAATGAGGCCTGTTGGACTTAGAACTGCCTCCTTCTGGGTCCCTGAGGCGAAGGGGTTGTTCTTGACCCTCTTACCCCATGCAGAGGGAGTAGGCAAGTTTGCTGGAGCCCCAAACCCTTTCCTCTCTGTTTAGCTGAACGAGCCTTGGACACCATGAACTTTGAAGTAATCAAGGGCAGGCCCATCCGTATCATGTGGTCCCAGCGGGATCCGGGGCTCCGGAAGTCAGGAATTGGCAACATCTTTATCAAGAACTTGGATGACTCCATTGACAACAAGGCCTTGTATGACACCTTCTCTACCTTTGGAAACATCCTCTCTTGTAAGGTGGGTTCTAGGTTTTGATGATGTTAGCTGTTGCCTGGGCCATGCTACCCTAACAGCAAATGGCAAATATAGGTATTGGAGCCCCTAACCACCCAGGGGACTAGAATCTTGGAGGGGAGTGGCCCTGAGGGAACTTGGGCATTTGACCTGTGGGATTGGTGTGGGGGAGGGATAGCTCAGTAAGGGTCTGATGGCCTGAGAACTTAGCCTGTTTGACTTTGTGGAAATTAGTCTGATCTTATAACTAAATGTCAGGCCTGTCTCTTTCCCTGGTTAGCTTTGTGACCTTTCCCTGATTAACCTTTCTCCTTTCTCTTAAGGCATGAGATTGGATGATCTCGATATAGCTCTACCATTCTTTGTTCTATGAATATTTCTAGCTCTAATGTTCTGATAGGATATTCTGATATGTAGGTAGTTCTCACATTGATCACCACTTAATTATTATTCATTGAGGTTTGGAGACACCTTTTTGGAGGAGAGCTTTTAAGGGTGCATTTTATTCCACCAAGTCAATTTTAAAAAATCAGCAAACAGCAGGTTCTTATATTTGCTGTATCTTTCTGTCGATTATGTAATGTTTAAGGTATCTGCTGGAGAAAATAGCCCACCCCCCATCCCTTCTCCTTTTGAAAGGGATCGTACTGAAAGCTCTATAGTGATGGGAAGGTAGCACATGGGTCAGTGATCACTGATCAATGTCCTCTTTTTTTTTTTAAAGTTGTAGTACCACTTATGGCTTCCTGCATTTTCAGAATTGTTGGCTCCCACACAAATTTCTGATCTGTTCCAGGTGTTCTTACTACCTAGGTCATCTTAAGGTATCTCTTCACCCAGCATCTTCACAGAGGTGGGGGCTCTGGCTGTGGAACACTGCATAGAATGTCAGACTTTTTTGATAACTAAGTTTTGCTGACCTGGTTTCTTACTCTCCTTTTTTTATTCTTTATTATAAGGGGTGGAGAGGAGAGGGATACGTTGGAAAATGCAGGTGATAGACAAAAAGTATGAGAATTTTTTTTTTTAAT